CTTTCTGCCTGACTGCTCTCCAGCCACACCAGACTATTGCATTCTTTTCCTACTTTTTCCCCATCAAGACTCTGAACTGGTTGGGTTTTTTTAACTCTGTCTCAAAATTAAAGGAATGGAAGGATATACCTTTCCTTTCCAGTAGCCCAGCCAGTCCCAAACTGCTTCCACCTATGTCCCTTGGAAGCAACTGGAAACAAAGAACCATCTACTCTCTGCTGACAGCAAACTGGCCTGGTTGACCTCTTTATTACAACAAAGTTTCCTAGAAGTTTTAATTTTAAGCACTTCAACCAAATCCTGTTGTGTTCACAGCAATTTCCTCTCCCCAAAAGGTGTAACACAAGTTTACACAAGCTGTGAGAGGATTCAGCCCACAGCAGCTGCCAAGAACTGCCAGGGAAGGAAAGCAGCAGGTAACCTGGTGGATAGGAATCATTCTGGTTTGTTAATCCTAAAAATAAACTCAAATGGTCTGAAAACTAAAGGTTTATAGATTTGTTACTGCACTGGTGACCAGCACAGGAGCTGGCAGCCTCTCCATAGCTCACAGCTCCTCCATCAGTGATTAAACTTGGTTTTTCCATAAGGAGATCTTCCCACAGCAGAAAATCTCTGCTCTGCCTTGTGACTTTACATGTCCCACTGTATGGAGGTAGCTCTGTGCTGCCCCTGGGTCAGCACTTCCATCTTCTACCTGTTTCTACCTGCTGCTCCCATAACCCTCAGTGTCCAAATGTCCCTGAGGAGCTTTAACCCACACAAATTCTTCCAGAAGGGCATAACAATTCCACAGCGTGATTTCCACAGTTCACCTAATTTTTGCTGCTGTTTATTCACTATAAATCTCACTTGGAAGGTCTGTTTTCACCTTTCCTTCACAACTGTTCCCATTCTTACCTCCCAGCCAGGCCACACAGTTGGGTTTGGCAGGTGGAGTGTGAATTCTGAACGTTTTGGTGGCAAGTGCTTCTTTGTACTTGGGTTTCTCTACCAGGTGTCTGATTTCTGCCATGAGCCTGTGGAGGAATCCTGGCAGCATAGCAGTGCCCCCGATGACCACCAGGTTCTCTGCCAGCTGCTTCCTGGTGTCTATTGGGCACTAATGCAAACAGGGAAACAAAAACAACCCCAAATCACTGGAACTGAAGTTGCCTGAACTTGAAGTACCTGTTAGAAATTCAGTCAGTCCTTCCATGCCCTTCAATTGCTGTTTTCTCATGTTTAGCTGGAACATAACCAACATCAGCCACAGTGATGCAAGAGAAATGCCTGGAGGTACAGAGGGGAGGGGTCCAGACACAGACCTTCTTAAACAATTTGTTTCTAAAAGGAATTCTAATTGGAATGTTTGTCATGTCAGCCAAGTCCATGGCTCTCCAATAATTTATGTCTCAGCAAACTTATTTAAATGGTATCAATAACTACAGGGAGTCGACTTTAATTAACAGACACACCACCCCCTAATGAAAATTTCCATTTATAGTGGTTTTCTAATGCATTTTCCCCTAAATACAAAAAGAACTGAAGTATTTGTACATGTCAAGGAAATTCTCTGCAATAAATCTAATATACTGCCTGTAATAGAGATGTTCAAATCAATTTTACTGTAGATCAGGTGAACCAGCAGCCTGCAGGACTCCAAGTCTTGAGTCATTTATGACTGCAGGGTCCCTATGCCTGGAGGAATTCCATAAATTGTTTCTAACATAAAGATACCTGAACAAGCGAATCTAAGATCAAAGTGGCAACAGATGTCTCTTCATTATCCTGCTCAAACAGTATTTCCACCACAGAGTCCCTGTGGAAGACACAGGAAGGGAGTGTGAGTGAGGAGCAAAGTCACACTAAGCTAACACTCAGACCAGCAGAGCTCCAGATAACTATGGACTTCCTGCTGCCAACGCATTGTCACCACTGCCATCACACAGCACATGCACCAGCCAATGCCAGTGGGGACCCACCCCACCCCACGCCCCCCAGCCACTGCCAGTGGGGAGGAGACAATCGTGGAATTGTTAAGGTTGGAAAAGACCTTTAAATCATTGAGTACAACTGCTTCCCCAGCTCTGCCAAGGCCACCACTAACCATGTCCCCAAATGCCACATCCACATGGCTTTTAAATCCCTTCAGGGATGGTGACCCTGCCACTGCCATAGGCAGTTGTGCCAGTGCTGGACAACCCTTTCCATGGAGAGGTTTTCCCCAATATCCAACCTAAACCTCCCCTGGCACAACTTGAGGCCATTTCCTCTCATTCTGTCACTTGTTACTTGGGAGCAGAGCCTGACCCCACCGGGCTCCAACCTCCTGTCAGGGAGTTGTAGAGAGCAATAAAGTCCCCGCTGAGCTTCCTTTTCTCCAGGCTAAAATGGCCCATTCCCATCACTAAACCTGCCCCATCATCCATTAATCCTCACTTCTCCCCATCCCTCCAGTCTCTGGGCTCTCACATTCCTCTCTGAGCTCCACAGAAGCCAACACCTCTCATCATGGGTTTGCACTGTGCCCAGCACAAAGCCTGCAGTTAAGAGGCACTAAAAGCATTTCATTAAACTTCAGTTTTAGTGAAAAGGTATAAGCTTTTAGAGCTGAAATAAAACTTCCTAATGAGAAATCTTCTGTTAAAGTGTTTCTCACCTGATGGGGCCAACTACATGGAGAATCTTTTCCCCATCTAAAGGATAGTCCACGTCAGGAGGTGGTGAAGGACGCTGGGAATAAAAACAGAGTTGAAACATTTTAGAGGCCAAAAAAGCTACAACCACCTCAAAAGTCTGTGATAGCTTCATTCTCCACCCACCTCAGCACTGCCATCAATGTTGAACTTGGCTGCTTGGATTTTCAGTCCACGCTGGAGATCACTCACAAAGCAAGTACGGACTGCAGGAAGGAGAAGAGAGGGGCAGAAATGAGACTTGGTTGGATCCTTTCATCACCAATAAAGACACAAACTTTTCTTCATTTAGAGAAGAACACACACTTTAAGCCCTTGCTGGTTTGAGTCATTACCAAACAAATGCAGTCTCCACACTTCAGCAGAGTTCAGACACTGTCTAGACAGTGAGTTTAAATGAAGCTGACACCAAAACTCTGCCAGAACAGGCAAGATTTCTTTCTCAGACAAACCACATCAGATTTAAAGCCAGAGGGACATCAGCCATCATGTGGTAATCTACAGATAGGTCACCACAAGGTGCCAGGGGTTGTATCCTGTTGGTACCACCACTGCAGGTCTTACACCACAACTTCAAACGAGGCATTGCTCATTTACCAAGCAAGTTGTAGTCATGCAATATTTTTCCCAGTGCAACTCTTTAGCACCCTAAGAATTCCAGAGTTTGGGTTTTTTTCCTCCAGGCAACACTGACAGGGCACAATCCTATCTGCATCCCAGCTGCTACTGCTATTATATACTTGTTGGTATCTTGCACAGATGAGTACCCTCCTCACAAACTGCTGTCCCAGTTATACATGCCATAAATACATAAAGAACCATAATTCCATCCCCAGTGTGTTGTATCTGGTTCCAAAACACTGCATAAAAGCCAGAACTGGTCAGGAAGTTGTGTTCAAGCCCAGGAATTAGAAAAGCAACTTCCATTTGACAAATTATTTGGCATTTGACTGATGGATTTCTTCCTAATTTGAGCCAAAATATATCTACTAGTTGCTATTTCCTAGGATAATATATATTTTTATATTTGTTGCACATGAAGCTTTATGTAGGAATTCATCAAACTTATGTCATAACAACACACAGGCTGAACTGGAAGAGGAATTCAACACCTGGCTTTGGTTTTGCTTTCACAGAAGAAAAACACCCCAAGTTCTTCCAATAGGTAAAAAATATGGTGAACAGAGAAGAGAAATAAACTCCTAACTGTAAAATATTTCACACTTGTTATTATCATACTCTACTGCACAGTTTAATAGAGAACAAAATTTACCTTTTATATCCTCTACTATGTCTTCAGGAACTGAGCCTGCAATAAAAAAAGAACTTAGAACAGAAGTTTTTTAAGTACAAAGAGAATTTAAGACTGAAACTGAGTCTGAATTACATTTAATATACTAAACTTGGAGTATGACAGCAGCTTGTCAAGATTTCCGAGGAAGAAAGGATATTAAGGACAGAAATAAAAAGTTTGTCTTTGCTTAAAGCAAACTGAAGAATTATCAGAGCACTACTCTCTCAGTCCTTACACAAACTGCTGTTCGAGTGGCTCATTACAAAAACAATATACTTGTTAAACACAACGAAAGAATTAAGCCAAGTAGGTCACATAAGATGCAGCAAATACTAAACTCATTTTATTCACTGTTAAGATGAATCCACTTTCCCTGGTTCCAGTTCACAGCACACACACACATCCCACAGACCTTACCCATCACGGATGGAAGGCTTTGTCCTTTGGCTAGTCCTGTATCAACTGTGCACTGCTCCAACAGCTGGTACTCCAGTTCCCTGAAACATGGCACAGGGAGGCACTTACAGACAGCTATGAACTCAGCCTGGCTCTCTGCACTGCCCTTAAGGGAGAATATTCATTCCCTTCAGTTACATCCTTCTAAATACAAACCTAAGGTCTGAATTCCAAAGCTTTTATTACATTAGTAAAAGCCAAACAATGGTAACTAAAAACTGGATGATGTTACAGCAAGTTATGATTTAAGGCATGTGCAAGAGGAATGTTTGCTCACTGATAAAAGATGAACTTTCAGAAAGCACTCATTTGTAACCTGGAATGGATAACAGTGAACTTACTTGTGGATGGCCTTTCCTGCCAGGGGAAGAGAACCCCAGCAGCTCAGGATTGGAATCCCCTCATAAATCTACAGGAAGATCAGGAAATTCTCCTTTTTTTATTGCGTGTTTTAGTCTGCTGGAACTAAATGCTTTTCCCCTCCAACAGTCCCTTGCATTGGAAACACTTTCCAACTGCTTTTCTCCAAAACTGACTCCTGGTATGTAAAAGCTGAAGCCATGAACCCTTCCCACGGATTTACCACGTCAGCTGTGCAGATTCCCCAAGCCAAAAGCCAAACTGGCTGAGCTGTTCCTATTACTTCTGAGCACAGCTGAAGTCAACAAAAGTCTCATCTTTTCAGGACAGCCTTATTGCTGAGAATGAAAGGATACAGGCAGCACCAAGCTTTCTGCATAGCCACAGTCCAGCACCATGGCAGAATTGATCCCAAGTGTCAGGAGAGACATCAGGTGACTTGGTGCAAACAAAACTGAAGGTACCTACATGGAAACCAAAAGGACAGTTGACAGAAGTGGGGGAAAAAGGAAGAAACCACCCAAGATATTGCTGCCTCCTCTGAATGGCATATTAAAAGCAAACCCCAAATAACTCTGCCCTGAGGTATCCAGTATTCATTTCATTTTTAAGGTAGTAACAAACAAAATACAACAGGATTCCAAATTCCGTGTTCGTCTTCTTTGTGGTGCCCAGCAGTGACTTCAGCAGTAATGAATGTTGGAATGGGCTTGCAAGAAAAGCAAGTGTTAGCTGCAGAACTCATCTGAAGTCAGAGATGAGGTTTCTTATTCTCATTGAAAAGAAAAAAGGGAAACAATAACACACCTACTTGGATACTTGTATAAAGACTTGATGATGTGAACAAAAGTGCTAGAAAAGCCATAAAACTGCACCTTATCACAACAAATTGCTGCACACAAACTCACAGAAGAGGCTACTCAAAACACTCTCCACAAAGCAATGTGGAAAGTCAAGTCAAAATTACACAAGAATTACTTCTTTCTCCCCAAATTCCATATAACTCCCATCAAATTTCCTAGGTAGTGACAGTTCCTCCAACGGAACACCTTGAAGTGAGTTAAATGAGAAGTTTCAATAAATCTTGCACTTAAGGGCAACATCACTGACACTCACCCAGAGAAATAACTCAGAATATTGACCCTGTACTAATAAACCACTTTTATTGCACCAAACAGAAACAGAAAGCAGAGAGAATTAACCGTCCACCAGGATTAATTGGCTTCTTAACAAGTTACAAAGTCTCTCCATCAAAATATGGCTTTGAAGTCACGAGTGATTCTCAAAAACTAATTTTGCATGGGATGTGCCTTTTCTGAGACATATTTTATATCTCTAAAGGGATTAGGAGGAAAAAAAACCACAAATAAGTCGCTCAATCAAATCGCTTTCAGTAATTCCAAGTCATCACCAAATTTTATCAACAGTAAGAACTATGCATAAGTGTGAGATTAGTTGGTAAACTGTGTTGTGGAAACAGTGAAGAAGTACTGCAAAGTTTCACCACATTTCACAGAAGCAGCTTAATCTTTGTTCTGTCTGAATGGAAGAACCATGGAATCACCTTCCAAAACCTTTTCCATTAGAACTAAGCATGAATCAGGTTGAAACCTTTCACAGAATTCCAGACTGGTTTGGGTTGGAAGAATCTTAACACTCATCTTGTTCCAACCCCCCTGCCATGGGCAGGGACACCTTCCACCAGCCCAGTTTGCTCCAAGCCCCATCCAGCCTGGTCTGGAACACTCCCAGGGATGGAGCAGTCACAGCTTCCTTTCTTCAAAAAGACTGATTAAGCAGAGAAGATACTTAATTTCAGGTAAGCTCTTATCTAAATGAGCAGAGCCAGAGGTTAGGTCACGTGCCAGGCAGAGATATTGACTCTGGCAGAAATGATGAGACTTGCTGAGAGAGCACTAACAAGTGTTTAAATATAAATTCCAGCTTCAGGCAGTGCTCAGTGGGGATTATTGGATCTGTCTGGAACAGTGGGATGTGAGCTGTAATATCATACAAGCCAGGGAAACCTTTTGGAGTCTTGTTAATAGCTGCTGCTTTGTGGCCTCATAAAGAGTCAGAATGGAACAAAAATGGCCTTTAATACAACTTCCAAGCATCAGATTTTTTAATCTTCTTTATGCCTCTCTCATTCTTTTGCCATTATTTTCATTTCTTTGCCCACATCTGGTGCTGACCATCAGAAATTTTTTTTGTGACAAGTGCTACACTGAAGACATTGACATATTTCTGAGAAGATGCACCTATTTCTGTAAAACACACACCTCAAAATGCTTGAAGAGGACTCTTGTGAGTGTGTCTCTGAAGTGTGAGGGGCACAGCACTGACTCTATGATCACAACACGACGGTCTCTGGGATTCACCAGCAGGTGCCTGAAAAAGGGAAGAGGTGTAAACCAAAACTGAAAAGTTTAAGCACGTTGTACAAGATCTATCTTATATTCATATTCCATTTTCCTCCAAAATCCTAGGAATTTCCATTCAGACAGCACTTTCTACAGCAGATCCCAAAGTCTTTTTCCCAAATTAAAAACCCCAATGTTTTCCTAGAAGAAAGTCAGGAAACTGAGGTATAGAAGACAAGTCACAGAGCTTTCAGCCAGGGGTTGTAGTTCTGAATATCCATTACACATTTCTACATCAGTATATGAAATGCTAAGATAATTAATGCCTTGCCCAGTGTCATGCAGTGTCATAAAAGAGGAAGAATGATGATACAGATGCTCTGATTTCAGTGGGAAAGGATAGAACTGTCCTGATTTCAATTCCAAATTCATGGTCAGGGCTAGAAGAAAACAACCCAACCCACATCAGAGGATGTGAGGCACAAAACTTAAGTACTGGTTTCCCTGTGATGGGTTTTACTGTGTAAAAGTAAGGATTGGAAACAAGAGAAAAGACCAAGCCCAACTTCATTATTCACTAAGGCTCCTAAAAATACAATACAGAGATGTATTACTGAGGTAAAAATATTCCACAGATTAAGACTCCTCCTTCCAAACCTCAGTGGAGAGCCCTGTACTGATACAAGATGAGCCTCAGCCTTAGGAAAATCAATGTAACATCTTAGGTAATGACTTTCCCTTATCAAGTCCCTTTATAAGTGCCACAGTTAAAAGGCAACTTATCAGATACTTCCTATTTCTAGAGGAATTGATGCTGCAGGACATGAACTCTTTGTAATATAACCCAAATCCCAGCACCACTGAACTTCCCCTGCAAGAACACAGCCAGGCAGCCACCTGCAAGAGCTTGTTTTTGGCTTTTACCCAACTGCAGCCTCCCTGCCCACAGTTCTGGCTGTGCCCAGAAGCTGCACAAGGCCTGGATAACCCACAGCCAGGTATTTCCTACCTGAAATACAGCATGTGGATGAACTCCTTCAGGTAGGAATACAGCTCTTCTGTGTTAATGTTGTACTGAACCACTCTGATAGGCTGTAAAGGGAAATATTCAGTCAGCTGAAATGCCAGGCAGGGATTAGATAGAAATATACACATGGTAGATAAAGAAATATATATGATATACACAGAATATATTATATCTGAACACATCTAAAATACAGCATGTGGATGAACTCCTTCAGGTAGGAATACAGCTCTTCTGTGTTAATGTTGTACTGAACCACTCTGATAGGCTGTAAAGGGAAATATTCAGTCAGCTGAAATGCCAGGCAGGGATTAGATAGAAATATACACATGGTAGATAAAGAAATATATATGATATACACAGAATATATTATATCTGAACACATCTAACCGGACATAAAGAAAC